TAGAATAGAATAGAATAGAATAGAATAGAATAGAATAGAATAGAATAACAGAGTTGGAAGGGACCTTGGAAGTCCAACTCCCTCCTCAGGCAGGAAACCCTATACTATTTCAGATGAACAGTTGTGTAATCTCTTGTTAAAAACTTCCAGTATTGGAGCATTCACAACCTCTGGAGGCAAGTTGTTCCACTTATTAATTATTCTAACTGTCAGGAAATTTCTTCTTAGTTCTAGATTGATTCTCTCCTTGATTAATTTCCATCCACTGATTCTTGTCCTGCCTTAGGTGCTTTAGAGAATAGCCTAACTCCTTCTTTGTGGCAACCCCTGAGATATCAGACCGCTGCTATCATGTCACCCCTAGTCCTTCTCTTCATTAAACTAGACATACACAATTCCAGCAACTGCTCTTTATATGTTTTAGCCTCCAGTCCCCTAATCATCTTTGTTGCTCTTCTCTACACTGTTTCTAGACTCTCAACATCTTTTTAACACTGTGGTGACCAAACTGGCTGCAGTATTCCAAGTGTGGCTTTACCAAGGCATTTTTAAAATAATATTAACATTCATGTGATTAAAGACTGCACTCCAGCCAGAAAAAAGCAGGCTGTCAGGTTTCCCAATTTGGGGCTTGACACAGGCAGGTCCTGAATGTCAAAATCACTCCCCTGGATGAAACCCAAAGCATCCAGAACTACATAAGTTATATGGTACCCAAAAAGATAAGCAGCTAAGAGAATGCCAGCAGAAGACATGGGAGGAAGATCAAATAGAGGAAGTACCATTGCAGGGTAAGAACTGCACGAGAAATACTATTGACTGATAGTTCAGATGACCAACACTGGGACCTCTCACCCATGGTTGGACTAAAGCACAGCTCTGAGGCCTTGATCATAGCAGCAGCAGATCCATAGAAGCGGGGATTTACCATATCAGACAGGAACTGAAGTGCAGGCTGTGCAAAGAGCCCTCAGAGATAGTCCCACACATAGTGGCGGGATGTAAGATGTGGGAAGGAATAGCATATATTGAGTAGCCCAACCATTGTTGCACAGTAGATGAGAGATTCCACAAGTCATGAAGAACAAGAAGCCTAAAATCTTGTGGGACTTCCAGATCCAGGTGGTACTGATCAATCAATCAGGCATCAACCAGAAGACAGTGATAGTGATAGATATAGTGGTACCAAGTAACAGCAACATCAGGAAGATGGAACAAGATAGGATGAAGGAAAGAAAGCCAAAGTAGTCCCAGTGGCAGTAGAAGCACTTGGATTTGAGATTCCTAAGCTGGGAAAGTGGCTCCACCAGATCTCAAGAACAACAACAGAGCTCTCTGTCAAGAAGAGTGCAGTTCTAAGAACAGCAAACTGTACAGAACCATCAAACTCCCAGGCATCTGGTATAGATTGAAAAAGACACTTATCACCCATAAAGATGAGAAGGGATTTTTTTAATGGGTAATATGCTAGTTCAAATAACACCCTAACTCTATCCCATGGATGCATTTCATTAATAGAAAACAACTGAAACAGTCATATCTATATGGCAAGCCTAGGCTGCTATTTTTCAAGCAGAATATTATGCTGCAGTTATTAAAAGTTCACTGGCACTATGGTCTGCCATCAGGGAAGAACAAAAACTTCCTTCCAGTTCCTGTTCAAACCCTCTTTCTAATTCACCTGATACTTTGGAACTGTACTTTTATAAACTTGATGAAATAAAGGCATAACAAATTCAAGGGATCAGAATTTAATAAATCAATCAGTCCCTTCCCTCAATTTTTTTCTGTATGCATGCTGTTCTGCTAGGTCTAAAAAATTTTCTAACAAGTTGAGAATATTTGAAAGAGGTTGTTTCTCTGTAGCAACTTCAGTATAGCAGAATGATATGGGCTTTGATAGACAAGACCATCTAATCAATATTCAAGGAGTAAGTCAGTGCATTATGGACAGATGTGTGTATGTGCCAGTTGTTTCTATGCTTTTATTTTTTCCTCTTGTAATGTTTAATTTATCATGCTGGAGCTTTTTAAACAAGAACATCTGTAAGCAAGTTTAAGTACAACCTCTCTCATTTTACATCTGTATGCTTTGCTCTTTCTTAATGTCTTAATTGTAGATATCTTCATAAGAAATACATCTGTAGCAGTAAGAAAATGATAAACCAGGAAATCTGATAGGTTGTATAGTGTTTATAATTTACATAATCAAGCATTCTCTACTTGCTTAAGTGTTAACACAGGATTGAAACACAATAAGTGGCAATGCACATATTTCTTTATAGGTCAAAGCCAATTAAATAAACTACAGCTAAATATTTAACAGCTCTGCTTAGTAATTAGTGGCAAATAATGGGAGCTTAAATTGATAATCAAACAGGTGTTTTTAAAACTAAGCCAGCTATAATGTCACATCCATTTAGCAAGCTTTACATTTCTGTATGAAGTATCACAAGGTAGATTTAAGGAATTTTCCTCTAAAGGTACAATGTAGTCATTGATATCCAAGGCAGAATCATATTTAATTATTTTGCTGTGGGGTAGAGAGAAATGAAGTATGTGAATATCAGAAAATGCATAATTTAAGATTTCAGAAGGTCACTTAGATTGTAATCCTTTAGCCATTGAATTGGCAAGGAAAGACTGTCTGATAATTAAAATGGAGATAAATCACTAATCTGTGACATTAAGATTAAAATCAACAGAGGACCGCCTTTAAAATAATCTGGTTCATAATATAAGTCATATGTACATACATAACATACATACATACATTTCTATATCACAAGGGAATCACTTCTGTTAACATAAAATACATGTCCCAAGCCTCTCTACTTCTTACAAAAATGTATGTATATGGTGGATTTACTTCTTTTTCTGAATATGCTACTATTGAAATAATGTGACAGAATAAGCTGCTGAATCACTCTATTTGAATTGTGTGAAAATAAAGATACCTCAAAGAAGGGGTCTGGATTAGATATTTTGCAAACTTCTTTCCATGACAAAGGCCATCATTTCTATGCATACTATAATTACTCTTGAATGAAAAGATGAGATAAAATGAAAACTATTGATGAAGAAAGCATATTTACTAATTACTGGTTATTATTCTGCAAAATACATGATCTGAAAATAAAAGAAAATATATGGTTATTGAATTGCAGTAAGAAGATATGAAATTCTGTCCTATATTTTCATACCAGTAAAGAGTATGATTAATAATTTGAACCTAGATCTATATCTGTTTGCTGATAATCTATATTGATTCTTCTATATAGCTGAAACCTATAGGTTTTCAAAAACTCTGATTCCACAAAACATTATATTCATATATAATATAATGAAAGCATCTTATTTTCATGATTCCAGATAGCATGATTAAAATTAGCCTCTTATTATTACTGTTAGCACAAAGTCTCTAGTGCAGGGATCCCAACCTCTGGTCTATGGACTGGCACCGGTCTGTGGCATGTCAGAAACTGGTCTGCACAAACAAGCAAAGCCCCATCCATAGGATGCTGACAGCACACAAAACCACGTCCCCTCCAGTCCACGGAAAAACCTTTCCACACAGAATTGGTCCCTCGTGCCCCAGAGATTGAAGTATGTTTCTCTCAGAGGTAGCATCTTTCCTTTTTGTATCCTAGAGAGAAGTTAAAATATTTTTATGCCATTGTGTTTTCAGCTCTGATTGTGGGCACTAGGTATATGTTGTTTTGTTTTAATCTATTTTTTTTTCTACATACGTTCCTGCCACCAAGTGCCATGTTGGGGTAGTCTACAGATATTATAAGAATGAATGAAGGAAAACCTTGAAGGGCTTCATAATGCCTGGCATATTAGGTACAATGCTGCATACATTCTCTATAGCATATATTTCTAAAGTTCCTGGAGGATCCTTCTCTTTATTTTCCCCTCCATGTTTTAGATATTTTATGAGTCCTCTGCTGTCACCATCCTCCCAACCATGCCCTTCCTATGACATCGCCTGTAATGGCTCAGTTGAATTGCCTTTCACCTTATTCAGACGTTGTGCTACAACCTGACTATGTATCCACACCCAGCGGGAATCGTTGCCTATTGCCTAGCTTTTCTTTTCCTTCCATCAACCTGACAGGATTTCCGATATTTCTGCATGTTTCAGGAACAAGAGAACTAAGGAGGTACCGAAATGAGGAAGCTACTGCAGTTATAAGGTGCTTTCTTGATTATTTTTTTTAAAACACATAGTCTGGTCTTTGAATGGGACAGTTACAAATAATTAGACGGATTGCAAGAAAGCCTTCCTTCAGACACCCCAAACAGATAAGATTTCCTAACTCTGGAGAACGTATTGGAAAAATATGGATCACATGATTATCTCTGGGTTCAAAGATATTTATATTAGGCTTTAAAATCGTTCATTTATTAATGAATACAAATTAGTGAAAAACTTATGATCAGGACATCAAGGTAGCTTCTTTTAAGACCTGCTTTCTCACTCTCTTCAAATATAAATATAAAGAGAGGAACAAACAGCAGATATCTGCTGTGATATTTTTCATCCAGTAACATTTTATATCATTGCAATTTTGATGGTAAACCCGTAGTATTGTCCTTCTTGGATATTGTGTATTAGGTGTAATCACTAACATTTGTGCAAAGGAGAAGTAACTGTTACCAGAGCAATATACTGGAATTTTATAGTTATTATATTCAATCATGGCTGTCTGGTAATGGTAAATACAGGAACAGTTCCTCAAGTAATTGCAAGTATCTTTTATTTTCTAGAGTTATTCAATCTTCTAAAAGTAATTGATACATCTGGTGATTAAAAGTCCATGATTACTATGGCCCTCTGCCGTAACACTGGAACCCACAGTATGTAGATACTTTATCTGTTCAATACACTGAAGCATTATAGTGTTATCCATTTTGTAGAACAGAAAGGAAAGAAATTCTCTTACATAACTGACTGCTCACTTGACATTAAATGATCTGGCACTTCAGAAGTTAATCTATGCTGACCAGAAAAGGATGGACTTTTCTCAGTTTTGAAATACAGCACTTTTAACCATGGGCTATTGGTACCATATACTTGTCAACTGCTTACCACCACAACAAAAAGGTAGATTTTGTTTTTGGAAGACCAGGCTCTTCAAATAATGAAAACTGCAAAATGATTCCTCACTGATTTCTCAAAATGATTCCGTAAAACAAAGAAAACAAGAGAAATGGTGCAAATGAAATAAAAAACACTTTGTGCTTAGAAAACTATTGCACAAATAATAAGAACAATAAGATAGGTTCAACTGTATTTTATAATATTTAATCAAAGGCTGCATATGGATAATACCCTACTATGATTTATGAATACCTCATCCCATGAACCTATAATACAATGAGCTTATCAAGTGTTGCTACAGTGGCAATTTTAAGATCCCTGCTAAAAACCATCCCTGAAAAACTCTAGTGTCAGGTAAAATAATTTGAGGAGGAAATATAATTGACCGACCCTACCCTAATGATGGCAAGTTGCCTGTATTATCTGCTTGTCTCTATTTACATGCATTTAAAATCATCATGGTGGTAAGGGAGGACCAACTGCAGTTGACTGAAGAAACTTTCTAAAGTAAAATATTGTTTTGACCACAGAATAAAAACAATATGTTGTCTATCAGATAGCGATTCATCATGCTGCAGCTCATTTACACTTTTGAAAAAATAAGCTACAAACAAGCAAACACTGTAATGCTGCTAAGTGTAAAGGTGCAGGCAATGGGAAGTCGGCTTTTTAATCAGATCTCAAAGGAATCTGTCATATTAAAGTGGCACTTATTCTAATTTAAAGCTCTTATGATTACTTTCATCTCTGAGAAGTGTATAAACTAACAACTTTGTTAAAAAGACTAGACTCTCAAAATGTATATGCAATAAAAAACAGGTTTGAGCTTAAAATGGTTGCCGGGGGTGGGTGGGTGTCGTTTTCCTTTCAACATACTTTTTCTAACAATGAAAGGAAACATGTGTTTGGGGTTGTGATGAAGTCCCTGAAGTTCAATAATATTTCTACCTTAGATCTTCACAATCAGCAAGATCTGTACAGTCATATTATCATTTTTAAGCCCTATTGCGATTGTAATTTCTGTTCAGCTTCTTGAAAAAAACCTTATATAGCTTCATTTTTATGTTATGTTTGCCATAAGAAAACATTAATGTAGTTCCCTTTCTATTTTCAGTTTCTCTTCGTACTTTATTTTATTATTCTGTCTTTCACAATATTGGTATGCGTACATGAAAAGTAGTGAATAAGACCAGTTTTATCTGAAATGTCTAACCTTTTTAAGACTGCCAATCAACGTCTCACTTTTCTCAGGGCTTCTACTACAATTGGCTTCTATTCCTCCCACTGTTTAAAGGAACATTTGAAGTACAGGGCAGTGGTAGAAACCAAATTAAACATTAACTATTTAAGTGTCTTTAATCTGGAATGTTGTCTTTGGGATTTGAAAATCAACAGTTCCATACAATTTTCTCTTTTATGTTGGAAATGGTTCTATCTTCACTAACGATGAGTTAAATCTTTAACATACAATTTACTGCATGTAGTCCAGCCCTCAGTACATGGATTATTTATGCATGCAGCCAAAAATAATAAGAGAGAGAAGCTACATATAGGGAAATAGGGGAAAGGGGCACAGGATATACAGGATAATGTTGTTCAGTGAAGCAGCTATGAGGAATGAATAGTCATCATACTGGAAATGCTAAACAATATTAAGATCCTCTGCATAAAAATGCAGACTCACTTTCAATTAATCTAAGGGTTTGAGACAAATGAGAATAAGAGGTCTAGATAAATTAGATCAAAAGCTACAGCTGGATAAGTGTTATTATGTACCTTTTCCATTACTTATAGTAGATAAAAAAAGTCAAAATACAGAGAAAGCTGTATTGTGTTTGGTACTGAATGTGATATCCTGCCATGCTCCTATTATTTATGCTTCTAAAAATCTGTTAAGACTCAAATTGTACTTTATCGCACAAAAGATAATAATGAAAGTGAGTCAACTATATACTGTATGCACATTGAGCTGAAAGAAAGTTTGCATTATCTTTGAAGACAGAGTACTTTGTAGATGTTTCTTTTTCAAAAAAGATTTAGGGTAGTGAGTTACAATGCTGTTTATATAGCAGAAAATAATTTTATGCTGACCAGATAGAACATCTTCAAATGCATTTTTTAGTGGTGTGAGGAAGCCCGATAGTGAGCATTCTCTGTAGCAATTCTCCTCCTCCAGAATATGTTGTCTCTGAAACTTGGATGGTCCTACCCTCATGACTGTCCAAAAGCAGGTGAAAACATGACTCATCTGGAGGTCATTCAGGCGTTAATTGTACATAGCAACACCATTCTTTATACTTTGAAAATTTTTCAGTTTCTTATTAATTACTCTTTCAATCATTTTATTCTGATTTTGAATGCTGTTTTTAAAAATATTCTCTAAGAGACCTGGAATCCAGTTGGCCTAATGTGGATACATTTTATATATATTTATTAAAAGCCACATTTGTGAAACTATAAAACTTCTATTGTTATCAAAATGTCATAAAATTGCAAATGATTATAGATGCATAATGAGTTATACCAATTGAGACTGATAGCTGAAGTCATAAAGATTTTGAAAGTCTGAATCCCTAAATTAGACTTAAAATCAACAGATTGTAGATAGTTTTGATATATGTAAAAATAGTCCCTATATTTTTTTAAAAACCTATTCATTGGGCTCCATTTTGCTAGTTAAATGCTTCATGTAACTCCTATTGCCCGCCAATTCATAGGACAATGTTCTTGAAACCTCACTTCAAGCTCATCTCACCAAAAGGATGGTTAAAAAAAAAGCTAGCCTCTTCCTCTGATAAAATATTGTATGAAGAACAATTGTAGGGTTTCCATTGTTTCATTTAACTCAGTAATTTGTTTTTTGTTTGCTGATTATACAGGGGTATTTTTTGCTGCTCACTTTAGGTTACTATTCATTATTACTTAAACATCGGATCCCTTTGGATGAAAGTGACTTTACTACTTTTAAAAAGCAGTCAGTTAACTTTCTATGGTATAAAGTTTTATTTAGATGATGGAAGAACAATTGGAAGGCTTTTTATGAAACCTGCAACTCCACGTATATTAGTCATATCATATTCACCCCTGACATCCATATCATAGCCAAAAATGTGGGGCCCACCACTGCCTCTCAGATACCCCAGCAGAGTTGATCCTCTGTAACTCCTCTGTATGGCACTTCCTGTTAAAAAAATATTTCTGTATGCATTATTCCATAATCTGCTCTACTTCTTCCATCTTCTTCTACTCTCTCCCTCCAATTGCCCATACTGCGTTATAGATAGTTCAAGGGCTACGCAGAGCTTGTCTTCTCACTGCTGAGGGTAAAGGTGGGAGGGAAAGACAGACTTGTGCTTTTGGAAGCATTCCCGTGAAGTCTCTTTCGTGTGTGCATGTGCTTGAAGACAGCCCAATGAAATGAAGGAATGGAGATACTAAACAATGCTGCATAAAGTTGCCGACTGTTCGGCTAAGGGCCAGAAAATGAATCCAATTTTTCATTCTGTCATTATAAATATTTCAGTACAAATGGTACTGATTTTCTGCAACTGTGGTTAAGCAGAGGGCCTTCTGAGTGAATATTTAAAAAAAAGTAA